TAACAACTATACTTCCATGAAGTTGTTACAACAAGCTAACGGAAAGGACATTCTTGGGGGGGAGGGGAGAGAGGGCGGAGGGAGGGAGGTGTCGGTGACGGGCCATAATAATCATATACAGTGTATATTGACAAAATAAAAAAAAAAAAAAAAAAAGAAGTAGAGAGTAGAATAATGGTTACCAGAGGACAGGAGGGGAGAGGAGTTGTGGGGAGGAGAAGTGATGGCCTAACATGTACAAAACAATGCTGACTACCCCAAGTGAATCATTATACAGGGATTGAAACACCACAGTGTACCCCACAAATATGTACAAATAAATGTTAAAAGAAAAGAAGAAAAAAGAAACACATAGTTACATGTAATGTACTTCAACCCAAGATTAAGGTGACAGTATGAAAAGGATCTCTTTTCTCTTATTTAAATTAAAGACTCCTTCATTTTATCACATAAAATAAAGTAAAATAAACTTATGATCTCATTTAATCATTGTTATTAAAATGAGGAAACTATATGCCTTATTAGTATTCTCAAATTTGAGGAATCATAAATATCAGGACTTAGTTACTCTTAATGTCATCGCATTCACTGATTATTTCATATGTGTGGGCCAGCCATGTTTCCCTAGATTATAATTCATTCCCCTTTAGGTATCGTGTCTTCTATAGTATAAAAGTAGTTAATGCTGTGAATTCAGATGGACCTGGGGTTGAACTCCAGCCTTGCCACCCTAGCTCTGTGAACTCTGACTTCTGAGCCAATCTCATGGAGTCAGAATAAGAATTAAGTAGATAATATACCTCCTGTTTTTAGCACAGTGTCTGACATATGCTTAATGCCCAATAAATGTTAGCTGATAAATATTATTAGCTACCTCATAGTATCTATCACACATAAGGCACATAGTAAGTTTTCAGTAAAACATTGAATAAATTCAGAACTTGCCCATTTGCAGGTAGGTTAGCCTCTCCTCAACTGATTATTCTGTGCAGTGTGTTTTCCATAGGCAGAAATGTGTACATTTTTGGACAGACCTCAGCTCAATTTATAGAATGACATAGGACCATTTGAGACCAGTACATCTTTCAGATTCAAAGTAATCTAAATAAAGAAATTAACATATACCCAAATAAGAGCTTTTTTTTAAGATTTAGTTTTTTTCCCCCAAATCATTAAAGCTCACATAGCCCCATGTCTCACAGCTTACTTACCTTCTCAGCCTTGATTTATTTTGCTTTTCTGAAGTCAGAGAGAAGTTATTATGTCCATTGTTTTGTGCAATGTTTAATTAGTAAACATTTTCAGAAACAATGAATAATTTTTACAATTTCTTGAATACCCAGCTAGCTGCTTAAAAGACATTTTCATTCATTTATCAAGTATGTACTATGTACCAGGCACTAAGGATCTAGTGTTGAATAGGACAAATGAGCTCCCTGCCCTCATGGAACTTCCGTTCTGGTGGGGATGGGGAGGGGGATGGGTAAGTGAGGTAGAGACAGACACTGAGCAAGTAAACTAACAAGATAATTTTATATACTGATAATAGCTATGAAGAAAAGGAAGGCGAGTGGGGCAGAGATGATAGTAAAGTGGGAGCTACTTTAGCTAGTCAGGGTAAAGCTCCTCTGAGGAGTTAACACTTGGGCTGAGACTCGTTATAAGAAAGACCTAGCCTTCTGAACTTCCAAGTATGGGGAAGAGCAAATGCAAAGGCCCAGAGGCAGGAAGGAGTTTTGTAGGTTCAAGGAGCAGAAGTAAGGCCATATTGTGGCTGTGATATAGTAAATGAGGGAGAGAATGGTACAAGAAGAGCTAAGAGAAGTTGGCAGAGGCCAGACCAAGTAGGCCATGGTAAGGAATCTGGATTTTTCTCTGATTGCATTAGGATGACACTAAATGATTATAAGCAGGAAAATATTATCTGATCTGTGCTTGTGAGATTGCAAGTCTCTTTACCTTGCTTAAGGTCACCCATCTAGTAAGTGGCCTTTCTGAGGTCCAAGCCAGATCTTGCTGGCTCCAAAGCCCATGCTCTTAAAAGTGGGCTGATTTGTCATGCTGATTAGTTTTCCTATAAACGTAAATTGAGGTCATTGGTTATTCCCAAATAAGCATATGTGAGGATAATGTCCTACATGGGAAATATAATTCTGAGCTATATATAGTATGTTAAATTTTAAATTCTGGAGCTTTCTTTTTTTTTTTTTTTCCTTTTTGTCTTTTTTCGTGTCCGGCAACGGATCACAACCCT